TTGCTCTCTTTTTATGTATGACTTTTTTTGTGTGTGTGTGGTAGCTGGTCAATATGGGGATCCAAACCTTTGATCTTGGTTTTATCAGCACCATGCTCTACCAAATGAGCTAACCGTCCAGCTCCTGGTCCTTGCTCTCAAGAAGCTCACAGTTTAGTTAAGAAGATCTCAGTTAACAAGTACTTCCAACCCATTGTGATGAGAATTATAATAGAAGACTGAACTCAGTTCCGAAGGAGAGGCCAGTGGCCTGGACGGTTGGAGTGGCTGCACGGAAAGGGGGAATCTAAGTCAGCTTTTGAAGATGAGAAGGAGTTGGTCAAACACTGGAGATGGGGAATGACATTCCAGGTGGAGCATGTGGGAAGGCACAGAAGTGTGAAGGAGCCTGATGTTGTGGAAAAGAGAGAAATTCAGCAAGAGGAGATGAGACTGAAAACACAGCCACCACAAAGAGTTTTGCTGGAAAAGCTGGCAGGAGCCAGCTCATGACAGGCTCAGGGTGGCATGATAACATTTGCAGTCCGTCTGGTAAACATTGCTGCCCTGTATCCAGAATTGACTAAGTCCAATCACTTTAAGTCTGTTAAGATAGGTTAAGAGCTTTGGCTGTGGCCTATACAAGTGGACACTTCCTGCAGGAAGGGGAGCTAGCATCTAGCACACCCAGCCACCTCAGTGTCCAGCACGTACCATGTTCACTCCCACCTCTGTGCCTTTGCATGTAGCTCCCATTGCCTGAGAAGCCCTTTTCCTCCTGCACCTTAACTCCTCCAAGATCCAGCTCAGGCATCTTCTCAGGGAAGCCTTTCCTGAAGACCCCATGCTCACACTGTCTTAGCATTTGTCAAACTGTAGGTGTTATATCTATCTGTCTTCTTCATTAGGCTGTGAGCTCCTTGAGTGCAGGGACTGTGTTTTATTTACATTATGTTCCAGGCCTCCAAGCTCTCCAGGGCCTTCGTGAGCCTCTGCCTCTCTCTCTAGCCTGATCTCTTGCCTCTCCCTCATGCCTTCCCATTCTCTCCTCCAACCCTCTAAACCACTTCGATCTCTGTGTCCCACTCTGAGGTGGTATTAAGGGAAACTTAACTAGCTTGTGATAGGGCTAGAAGAGTGCAGGGAGCCACAGCAAATAGGTTGATGTGGTTGTAAGTGAGACTTGGGGGCTTTGACTGTGGTGGGTACTATGATGTTCATGCCCCAAATAGGTGCCTGGGGGCTGCTACATAGAACACTGGGAGTAAAAGAAAAACCATGAGAAACAGACTGTTAAGAAAGTTTGGGGTCAGCATCCAGATTTCATTTTTGTTTTTAGCTACTATTTAGTTGAGCATCTAACATGTGTCAGGCACTAGGCATATTACACATGTGATTTAATTCTACCATAACCTCAAGAGGTAGAGATTATTTCTAGTCCCATTTAACAGATGTGGAAACAGAGGCCTGGAATGGTTAAGCAACTTGTCTAAACTCAGGCTGCAAATAAAAGCCAAATCCATGACTTGAACCCTGGCCTATTTGACTCCAGAAAGTCCCTGAGAAAAGGCATGCTTGGCCCTCACCCTGGGGAGAGAGACGTGGCACAAGGGGGCGGGATAAGAAATGGTGGTGGGATGGGAGAGAAAGCAGAGCAGGCCCAGGGCCAGGGTAGGAGTGGGAAGGCCACAGAGGACCAAAGGTCATGTATGGGAAGGGGGGGAGATGTGAGAGACAAACTCCGCCTCCTTCACAATGTCACTCAGGATTAGCCCTCCTGGCTCCCTAAACCTCATCCCAATCCACCTTGGAGCTTCAAGAGCCTGGGATGTATAAGGCCATCAACACATCCAAGAATCATGGAATTTTGGCATGATCAAATCTTAGAACCACATCATATAATTCTAAAAACTTTGTGTTCTAATGAAATGTGGGCTCTTAGAATCATGGAGTTCTCAAATCTTGAATCTTAGCAACCTAGAACTTTGACGACTTAGAATCTTGAAATCATGTGTTCATAAACTATCTAAGCAGAAAACCTTTCAAGATCATAGTTTACCTCTCCCTTTATTTTGCAGATGGGAAACTGAGGCTCAGGGAAAGGAATAGTTTTCCTGAATGTCACACAGTAAATGTGTGGCTTAAAGAGCTAGAGCTCCTTCCACCAGCCATGTGTAAGAACTGGGTCTAGTGCCAAGGCTGCTGGAACCCTGCCATCTGACAGTTCTCTTCCCACCTGGTTTTGGCATGGCCTTGGGCCCTCACCTGCCTAGAGAAAGAAGTAGCTCCAGGCAATGCCACCCTTCCTTCTGCCTCTCACCTTAGAGGGCATGGCAGGGTGGAGATTGCGGCCACAGAAGGCCTCCTGCCAGTCCCCCCGTATTCCCAGCCTCTGCCAGGTCAATTGGTGGGAGAAGGGGCCTCCTGGCCTAGGCATTGGCTGAGACACTCTGTCTTCATGCTCTGAGCAGGCAGTGAGGTAGACAGGGTGCCAGTTGGCACAAGGGCAGAGGCTACAGGGCTGCCTCAAGAAAGGTAGGACAGGGTTTCTTCAGCAGCAGGCTGAGACCTAGGGTGGTGGCAATGTTGCAACCACCTCCTCCCTGGTAGGGGAGGGGACTGAGGAAGAAAGACATTATTCACTCCTTGGAGAGTTGGGCTGGCTTTGACCAGCACTCTGGCTGGGCCTGTGTCCCACCCTCCCTGCCAGTGGAGGCTGAGAGATAAACACAGCTCATTTGATACGGGCCAGCCGGGCCTTGCTGGCTTGCTGGGAATAGGATCTGCTGTTTGATCACCCTCTCCAGTTTGGGGGGCTCGGGATGGGGTGAAGAGGTAGAGACTAACCAACGTGTTCTTATGGTCCTCAGTGGCCCTGGAAGTACACACTGAAGGCATTACAACAACAGCCTCAAATCTTTGTCCTGGGAGGTCCAGGAGAGCAGAGCAGGAGCAGAATGAGGAGCCAGAGGGAGGCCAGTTTTAGCTTCTTACAAGGAGAACTTCCTAGTGGTTAGGAATGGCCCATGAGCTCCTGTTCCTTGGAGGTGTGTGCCAGGGGCTGTGCTCCATCCCACCCCCCAATGTTGAGAGAGAATTCCTACCATGTGTGTAAGCCCCCAGCCCCCACTCCAACTAGTCTGCTTTCCATGCTCTGCGATTCTGAGTTTAAAAGTCTAAGAGAATGTGATTTAGAAAGTGTGAGAGCCTATGTTTCCAAAATGCTTGACTCTAGAAGGTGGGAAAGAGGAGGCATGAAAGGCAGCTTCTGGATTTTGGACCAATAGGGGTCTAGGAGAAAAAATAGGGAGTGGGGAATGGTGGCTGGTGGGGCAGAGAGATAAGAAAGAAGTTGGTCTTTAGGTCCTGGGACTGGGTAAAAAGCCATAGGCGATGAGGTGAATTTGAAGGAGCTCTGCCTTGGAACCAGGATCCCTGGGTTCAGATCACTAGCCAGATGGCTTTAGGCAAGTTATTTAGTCTCTGTAAGCCTTAGTTTTCTCATCATAAGGCTGCTGCAAGGTGGATATTATCACCTATTCCAGATGATAATGTCCATTCTGTAGTGTCTTTGTGATGATTACCATAATTATCATAATAGTAGCATTTTTTCAATTAAGTGTCAGGAACTAGGCTCAGTAAGCATTTTACAAGAATTATCCAATTTAAGTCTCAAAACAGTAATGTTAATGAGATAATTAAGTAACTTCTATAAAGAGTTCAGCACAGAGAAAATAGCCAATAAATGTTGGTTCCTTTCTCCATATTTCAATCTGATTTAATTCAACAAACCTTTGCTGGCACTTAGCTTGTAGCTTGTGCTGGGCCTCCCAGTTCCTCCCAAAAAGAGCTCAGGCAGTGGAGAGTTTTCCCATAGGAATGACAGCATCCCTTCTGGACTATAAATAAAGACCACCAGGCCCCTCTGTGGAGGATGGTTGTAGGGTCAGGGAAGGAGGCAGAGGGCTTGGGCTGCAGTGGCGAGTGGGTGAGAGGTGAGGGCAGGGAAGGATTGATCAGCCAGGAGAGGGGAGAGAGCGGTGGAGCCTTCAGGAAAACAGCCTTGCAGGAGAGATATCTAATCTGCCTAACAAAACATACGGTTCTGATCATTCTTAGAAGCATTCATCTCCATATTGACAGCTGATACACAGATTACAAAAAAATCAATTGGCATGCCAATTACAAATCACAGTAGTAGCAACCACCATCTTTAAGGATATGTAAAGTCAGTTTTCTAACAACCTTTCCATCGTGGCTCACTGAGTTATAGGGACATAGCACAGTATAAAAGCAGGAAAGTGACTGAGTGGCTTTGTTCAAAAGCTAGGTCACAGGACCCAGAGAAGTCACATACACACGTGTGTGTGTGTGTGTGTGTGTGTGTGTGTGTGTGTGTGTGTGTGTGTGTACGTGTAAGAAGACAGGGCTAAATGGATCACAGAGCTTCCTCCATGTCTGAGCTTTCAGAGACACGTGTGTGTGTGTGTGTGTGTGTGTGTAGATGGGGAAGGGAGATGGCAGAGGAAGGGAGGGAGGGAAGAGTGTGGTGATGTACTAAATAAAAAAATAAGCAAAATGGGACAAAGAAGAAGAAAACAAGTGTGATTATGAGGGAAGAAGGAACACACTGAGTTGACGTGTGGCCTTAGCAGTGTAATTTATCCCCTCTGGGCCTCATATTATTCGTCTAATCATAATAACTGACATTTATACCACAATATAAATCCGTAAGGCATTTTCACTGCTTGATCCCCTAACTGCCCTGTGAGATAAGTGTTAAGGCTCAGAGAGGGGCAGTGACATACCCACATGACACAGAAAGTGTGTGATCAAGCAGAAATGCAAACTCAGACATCCTGGCCCCCTGACTAGGAGAGCATGCCCAGCTGTGCAGCAGATTCTCTTTCTCCTGAGTGGTCTATGTGAGATCCTTCCTAGAGCCAGAATGAAGGAAGAATGAGACAGGGTCTTTGGGCTGGAGCCTCCTGGGACTAACATAGCCCCGGCTGGTTTGCCAGGCCCAGACATGTTCTGCCTTTTCCATGGGAAGAGATATTCCCCCGGCGAGAGCTGGCACCCCTACTTGGAGCCACAAGGCCTGATGTACTGCCTGCGCTGTACCTGCTCTGAGGTAGGTTCCTCTGGTCACCTGGCCATCTGCGTCAGGTATGTCTGGTCACCCCAGAGGGAGGGAAGACAGTCTGACTCTGGAGGTTCTGGGGCACTTTGGAACGAGGCCCCTAGAATCATGCTGTCAGCGGCAGCGAGGGACTTGGGGTAAGCCACTTCACCACTGAGTACTCAGAACATAGGAGCAGACAGCAACTGTGTGCCTCCTACAGATAAGCTGCACAACGGGTCAGTGGCTGGGCTGGGATGAAGAGCTGCGTCTCCCATCTCTTGTCCCAGCCTTCTTTCCACCTCGTGCTAGTGCCAGCTTCCCTGCCTTCATGCAGCCCAAGACAGAGCCTTTTGGACCCTACCTCCCACTCCTTCCTTTTCACATGCTGTTTCCCAGCCACCTCTCCTGCCCTGCCTGTGGATGTATTTATTCTCCCAACTCCACTGGCCCAAATACTTATTCTTCAGAGCTTTGCCCAAATGGGCCAATAACTCCCACCTGAAGTATTTTGTTTGTTTGTTTTTGGCGGCTGGCCTGTACGGGGATCTGAATCTTAGTGTTATAGGGCTGTGCTCTAACCAGCTGAGCTAACCGGCCAGCCTGGAAGTATTTTCTTCTTATGGGATCCCACGTACGTTTCTCTGTCTCTTTCTCCTGATCACTGTTGGCCAGGGTTCTGTGTCTGTCAGTAGTGCCCATACTAGACCAAGCCACTAACAACAGGTCCTTCTGAGCCCTCACTCATGCCCAGAATGATGCCCTGCCAGTGGCTAGACCAACTAGGGCAGAGACCACATCTGTGTTTCACCTCCATCTCCTGCCTCCCCAACCCAACCCAGCACTTCCACAGGGTCTTGTACAACCAACTGTGTAGAATAAATGAGATCCCCCATGTGGTCTAGAATTCTCAGGTAAGGCATGAGATTGAGGGGTGGAAGAGGAGGGAATTGTTTAGTGGATTGAAAACTCTTGGCTGTAGCTCAGCTGCCTGAGGCCCAGTCTGGATGTCCCCAGCTTTCCTTGTTTGGGTGCTGGTGCTTGCGGGGAGAAGGTAGCAAGCTACCAGCTGGAGCCAGCCCCTCAGCCCCTCTTTCCCTGCACAGAGCCAGGAGAGGGATGAAAAGGGTCTCTAAGAGCTTCCCTTGTTAAAAACAGAACCCTCAGGAGTTGAGAAGAGCTCCTGAGGAGACCCTGAGAGGTGGAGGAGGTGGTGAGCCAGCCTCTCTCCTGACTCTGACACAGGGGTCTCACTCCTCCTGGGGTCCTTCCCTCTGATTCCCCACTGCCTCTACCATGTTGGCCCCAGGTAGAAATGGGGACACAACCCCCCCACCATGTTTCCCTCCCCCCCATTTTGCTTAGCACACATGAGGCTAATCAGCCTTTTCCAAAAGAACTTTATGAAATATAGCCAGAGAACAGAAAGGAAACCATAACAGAAAATTCCAGACATATCATGTGGTTCAGTTGACAAAGTCCAAGTTTTGTGATCCGTTGCAGTTATTTCACTTCTCCTTCCCCAGAGTTCACACACACAGTTTTCTCAACCCAAAGGACTGTTGCTGATATCTCCAAAATATACCACTTCTCTCCAACCATCACCACCCCCCTAATCCAAACCACCTACATCCCCCTTCTGGGCTGCTACACAAGCCTCCTAGCAGGTCTCCCTGATCCCCCGTCTAACTCTGTCCTCCACGCAGCCCCTAGAATGATCTTTTCTGAATATAAAACTGATCGTGTCATTCTGCCCTTAAAGCACCCAGTAGACAAAAGCTTTTAACTGCACCTAAAGTGAAATTCAAATTGCCTGCTGGGTCTCTGCATGATCTGACTTCTGCCCGATTCTCCAGCTGCAGTCATACCTTCTCACTCCGCCGCAGCCACAGCGGCCTTCTGTCGGTTCCTCCAACACTTTAACCTCATCCCGTCTGCTTGTTTCCTCCACCTGGGATGTTCTTCCCCCAGATCTTCTCACAAATGGCTCCTTCTCATCTCCCTGTCCATAACATAAATGTTACCTCCTTATGAGGCCTTTCCTGACAACTGTTTCTAAAATAGTCTACCCGGTTAACTAAATCACATTACTCTGTTTTATTATTATCATAAATTTAACATCCAAAATTGTCTTGTTCCTACTTGTTTACTTTTTTATAGTCCATCTCCTGCTGCTAGGATGTAAGCTCCATGAGAACAGAAACCTTGTGAGTCTCCCTCACTGCTGTGTCCCCAGAGCTCAGAGAGGGCCTGGTACCCAGTAGACATGGAACAGATATTGAGTGATTGAAAGAGTCCACACCCCGGCCACCAGCAGCAGCTCAGCATAGTGGAAAGTGCATGGGCCCTAGCGACAGTGTTTACCTGCTGTGTGATCTTAGACAACTTAACCTCTGCTGCTCTTTTTGAAAGTGGGGATAATAGTATCTACCTCTAGGGCTATTGAGAAGATGAAGTGAGATAATCTGTTTATTGGTAACATAAGGCCCCTACTTAGTTGCCAATCAATAAGTGGTAGTTGTGACTTTCCTGGGAGGTTCCCTTTAGCTGCAAATGGCTGTACCACATGCCTCACCCCCACCCTTTCACTCCTCCCTGTCTCTGGCTTATTTCCTGCAGAGTGTTGCTGGTAATCTCCATACCTTGGCTCCTCCAAGGCCAGAATCAAGAAAGAAATTCTAATTCTTCAGGCCACACAGTCCCTTGCACTCCTCCCTAGTTTCTCATCTGAGGGCCTCAGTTTACCCTATAGACACTTATTAAGCACCCATGTATGACAGGCCAAGCTCAGAACAATTCTGTGGACTCCAGGATGCCCCTGAGCACTGATTAGTCCTTGCAATTAGCTCTGGCCATCTTGGAAGCAGTGACCCCAAGGGGCTAGGGCTGCTCTAGGGTCTTCCGTGGGATAAGAGGTGGTCTCTGGGAGAAGTGCTGTTAGGGAATGTGGGTAGGCAGAGGGCAGTGGGAAGGAACCAGGGGCAAGAGGGCTGGAAACAAACTTTGCCACCTTCAAAGTTTTAAACAAAGCTGGCTTCGTTCATCTGAGAGAGGCCATCCATCCCTCCTTCCCTTGCTCTCACTCATTCACTCACTCATTCATTCACTTAGACTTCAGCAGGCACAAACTCGCAGCAAGGCCCAGTGCTGACAATTCCCCTGGAATTTATGGCGTAATAGGTGAGACAGATGTAAATAGTTTGTCGCAATACAGTGCGGTGATGCTCGTAATGGAGGAAGAGCAAGCTGTGGGAAGGCTGAGGAGGGGCTGACAGACTCTGCCTGGCGAGCTGGGAAAACCTCCAGAAGGGGTGGTGGCCTCTCTCCCTGTTTCTGCTCATCTCTTTCTGTGTCTGTTCCTCTGCCCAATTCTCTCTCATTTGCTGTACCTGAAAAAGCTAAAGAACTTTGGGCCCTCCCTTCTCTGGTCCCAATTCCAAAGGCTTTGTCCAGGATTACCCAAACCTCCCAGAGGTTTAGGGAGTGGAATCGCAAAGCGCTGAGTCCTCTCTATATCAGGTTTGTAACCTTGTCCCTGCCCTGGTCACCTGCCCTAGATAGCTACAATGCTCTCTCAAACCCAAGGCTCAGGTCCAGAGTTAAATGAACAAAGCCCCAAATTAAAATAGTACAATCAAAGTACCAAGATCAGTGTCAAGATAACTCAAGGCTTTTACTTGTATTTCCCAAATACCATGAAGAGGGCATAACACCTGAGCAAACACGTGAACAGGTCTGCCCTCCTCCAGGGTGGGAGAGGGATGCGGATGAGTGGGCCTCGCAGGCAGGGGACAGGGAGGGACTGGGCACATTTGAGTTTATTGTTTGTAATCCCATCACAGGGTTAAAATAAGTACAGAGTTCTGCGGGAGGCATCGGGGTTTGGGGAGAGGATGGGTACAGGTGGGAGGCACTGGTTCTTTGGAGCTGTGCTGACCCCTGTGTCCCCTTCAGAATGCCCATGTGAGCTGTTACCGCCTCCATTGCCCACCTGTCCACTGCCCGCAGCCCGTGACAGAGCCACAGCAGTGCTGCCCCAGGTGTGTGGGTAAGTAGCCTCATGCCTCCCCTTGTGCCAGCCTCCCCACGCCCATGGACCCTTATCTCACTCCTGCTGCAGGAGGACAGGGGTGGTCTCTACCCATCAGAGGTGTTGAGACAAAGGTGCTCAGGGGAGGAAACATCTGGATCCCCAAGCATGGCTGGGGTGGCAGCAAAACGTCTTGTTCCTAAGTAGGTGTGCGTGGCAGAAGGAGGGAGAAATTGTGGAGAGCAGCTGAAGGAAACGGGGGCTTGCCTGATCTGCTCACTGGCTCAGTTGGGCCAGTCTCTCTCTGGCTGGCCATAGCTGGAGGGAGTAGACATGCTCTGGGAAGTGGCGTGAGTGACTTGGGCTGGAAGGCACCGTAGGAAGAGCACAACCCTGGGACTGAATGACCACAGGTGTTGGTACGTGTACTCTGGGATTCCTCCCAGCGCTGAGATTCAGGGACTCTATGTGTCCTGACACTAAATGTCTATGATTCCCTGATTTTAAGATTCTACGAGCCTCTGAGACTGGGATTGTAGGAAGTAGAGGTAAGAGAGAGGAGACGTGGTCTGAGAAGAAACTGGCATAACCAAGTAGGCAGTGAGGGCCAGCCAGGAGGAAGCCGGCTGAGACAGGGGCTGGGCGTGTTTAGCGGAGAATTGATGTTTAGAAGCATCAGGTGATTGGTAAAGAAGGGGCTCCAGCTTTCGGCCTTAGCCTCAGCTCTGGGCTCTAGAGGCTGGACTGTCTTGGTGAGCGGGGGTGGAAGATGTGTGGAAGGGGCTCATTTTCTGAGTGGGACCCTAGGCAGTGAGGGCCAGCCAGGAGGAAGCCGGCTGAGACGGGGGCTGGGCGTGTTGAGCGGAGAATTGATGTTTAGAAGCATCAGGTGATTGGTAAAGAAGGGGCTCCAGCTTTCGGCCTTAGCCTCAGCTCTGGGCTCTAGAGGCCAGACTGTCTTGGTGAGCGGGGGTGGAAGATGTGTGGAAGGGGCTCATTTTCTGAGTGGGACCCGGTAGGGATCTGACTGTGGCTCTGGCTTGGGTGGTGGAGATTCCTAGCTCTGGGTTCCCAGGGGAACAGAGGCTCTCCGCTTCGTCCTGCCCAGTGAGGGGCATCATGCCTCCCCCATGTCTGACGCTGACTCCAGGGGTCCTTACCTCTCCCTGCTCACTTTGGGATTTCCTCCTGCTCTTTGGCCCAGGCCCCTTCTTCCTCAACGCTCTCCACTCCCTCTTGCCTTCCGTCTCCTGCCCCTTTGCCTGCTGGGCTCTACTTGTTCAAGGCTCAGCTCAGCCACCAACCCCCTCAGGAAGCCTCCCCTGACCATCCCTACCCAGCTGAGCTAGGGGCTCCTCCTCTGTGTTGCCACAGCCTCTCTGCTTCCATCCTCCTGAGCCCTCACCATACAGTGGCATTGCTGTGGCCGTCTCTCTACCTGGTAGATTGTGAGTTTCTTGATGACAGGGGCTAAGGCTTTTTCGTCCCTCCATTCTCAATGCCTAGCATGGTGCTTGGTACAGAGAACGTGCTTAGTCAAGGTGTCTTGAATGGGCAAGTGGGTCCTCTCAGGACTCGAGGCTCAGCCCTCTACCCAGCAGGATGAAGACTGACTAACTGGCAGGTGATGGGGACGGGGCTCTGGTGACCAGCACCTGACAGGAGTTTATACCAAGCACAGAAACAGTCTAGAACATCCCAGCTGACTCCACTAGACTGTAGCTCCATGAGGGTGGTGACTGTTTTGTTCTCTGCTGCATCCCCAGCACCTAGAACAGAGCCTGGCACTAGGAGCTGCTCCATGAGCACTCGTTCGCTGTTGAATGAACTAACTCATGCTCACCTGGGGGGTGGGGGGGTGCTTGGTGGAGCTGAGGCTCCTGGCCTTTCCTTCTTGCTTGGCCAGGGCCAGACCAGACATGAGGGGCTGAAAGGCTGTGGTGGAAGACCACAGGAGGGAGTGACATGGTCAGATGTGCATATCAGCAGGACCTCTTGATTAGGTGATACAGAGAATGGCTGGGAAGGCTGAGACCAGAGCTCAGTTTAAATGCCAAGATGGGATAAAATGCAAAATCTTCAGTAAAGTAGCCTAGTTAATTCTAGCAAAGATCTTAGATCTACATGAAACCTCATTTTCTTCTTTCTCCCACTCCTTCCCATCTGCAGAACCTCATACCCCCTCTGGGCTCCGGGCTCCCCCAAAGTCCTGCCAGCACAACGGGACCATGTACCAACATGGAGAGATCTTCAGTGCCCATGAGCTGTTCCCCTCCCGCCTGCCCAACCAGTGTGTCCTCTGCAGCTGCACCGTAAGGACTTCTCTTTTCCTTAGCCCAAGACAGTGGTCTGTGCCTGCAAAGAGCACAGTAGTATGGTCTCGGGGGCATTGTTCCCCTTGGTCAAAGCAAAGTGAGAATGAAGGGGCTCAGGGGAAAAGTACATCTGGGGTTTCGAATGTCCTGCCCCTAGCGAGGTCAGGTGACTGTTCCCTGGGCTTCCACTCCAGAGCTGTTTCCCCCTGTAGATGTGCATTCCCTGAGGGGAGGGAACATACCCATTTCATTTCTGTATCCTGTGCTGCTCTCAGTCCGGGCCCTGGCACACAGAGGACATCTGTAATGATTGTTGAATCAAACAGTGAACAAGTGAATGATCAGTTATCAGTCCTAGAGCACAGAGACAGGCCAGACTGTTTGTAGTGAATGGAATTTAATCTGAAGCTGATTAAACTCCTCCTGCCTATGGTCAGAGTTGTGCCTAAAAACAGGCAGGGCTGACCCTGCTGTGCTATCAGGGGATAGAGACTGAAGCTAAGCAAGGCCTGATCTGGAAAGTCTTCACCCTCCTCTTTTTTGGGGGGGTGGCTCTAGGCATGGCCCTCCTACAGTTTTGCCAATATCTTTTGGCATGTCATCCATCAGGGGATAGAGACTGAAGCTAAGCAAGGCCTGATCTGGAAAGTCTTCACCCTCCTCTTTTTTCGGGGGGGTGGCTCTAGGCATGGCCCTCCTACAGTTTTGCCAATATCTTTTGGCATGTCATCCTTAACCATGGGTTGAGAAACTCATCTGTGAATTGACAGGAGAAACCCCTGCCCTCAGATCTCCTTACTACCTGATCATCAAATTTTTCTGGGCCTTAGTTCCTCTGAGTGTTTAAAGAAGTCTGACCAAGTGAACTCTAATGTTCTCCATAGACGAGGTGTCAGAAACCTGTTTTCAAGCTCTAGCTCTGCCCTGGTTCCCTGTGTGACCTTTAACAAGTCACCTGTCTCAGGCCTGCCTTTGCATCTTTTCAGTGAGAGGGTCCCATCAGTCTGAGGCTCTGACTCAAAGTGTCTGTGCTGCAGAGCAAACAATCTGCAAATAACGAGGAGTAACTACTTATAAATCAACCTAGTGAGCGATTACTTTTTGCAGGGCCTGAGCCTCTTGCAGTGGTCTAGTATATTGTATCATTAGGTTCATAGAAGTGTCTTGTTTATGTACAGTATCCAGACAACCCTAAGATATCACTATTCCTATTTTTCAGATGAGGAAACTGGGACTCAGTGCAGCTAAGTCACACAGCTAAGGTCACACAGCTAGCAAGTGGCAGAGCCAGAATTCAAACCCAGGGCCACATGACTCCAAAGTCCATGTTCTTTTCCCTGCATTGTGCCTGGATTAGGAGGGGGCTGTAGGAAGAGACAGAAATGATGGTGGTGAGATGGTGAGAACATTCTGTGATTCCTTTGTCCATTCTCCCTGGGTACTTGGGTCTCTCCTTTCTTGTCATCCCTGTTTATATGGGACTGGCTTGACCCCTGTCCTCATCTGTGGGATCAGAATCCCTACTTCTCAGGCTCTGCTCCCTCAGGAACAGGGAAAGGACTCAAGGTAACATCGCTTCCTGTCAGGCACTTTGTGCCTTGCGATTTAAAAAGGGTTTTCACAACCATTCCCTCACTGGGTCTTCACACCCCAGATGGGAGTGCCCGCATTTCACGGAGGAGGAATCTCAGGCCCAAAGAAGAGAGGTGTCTGACCAAAAGTCACTTGGCCTCCTGGCTCCCAGAAGGCCCTTCCCCCTGCAGTCTGCCTTTCACAGGTGGGTCCTGACGCTGGAGGGCAAGGGCTTTCAGTAAGAGCAAGATGAGCCCCAGGTGCCACCCACCGGTCCCCCTCCCTATGCTAGGCCCCTGTTCCAGGCCTGGGGAGAAGGACCTTGATTTCAGCAGGAACAGTCAGAAGACTGGGCTCTAGTCCATTCTGCCCCAGCTGTCTTTCTGATGTCAGATGCTCAGGCCCCTCTCCAGGCTCCCCTCCTCCCACTCACCAGGTTGCTGTGAGAGCCTGGGGAAAGACTGGCCGGCTAGCTTAGTTGGTTAGAGCACAGCCTTATAACACCAAGATCACAGGTTCAAATCCCTGTACCAGCCAGCTGCCAAAAACAAAAAGAGGAAAGAATATTACCTTCAGGGCCTGGAATGGGAGTGGAGACCCCTCCTCTGAGCTGGCAGGGCCTTGCCCAGGAGGCTCTGCTGCTCCCTCTCTGCCCCTCTCAGGGGAGATCTCCAGGCTACTTTCCCCCAGGGAAGGAGGCTCTCCTAGTCCCCAAGGCTGGTTCCTCACCAGAGCTCATTTCCCAGCCCATTTGCTCTGTCTGTCAGGAGGGCCAGATCTACTGCGGCCTCATGACCTGCCCTGAACCGGGCTGTCCCGCACCCCTCCCGCTGCCTGACTCCTGCTGCCAGGCCTGCAAAGGTGAGTCTGTGCCTTGATCTGGCAGTGCCCACCCCACGGACCTAGTCATGCACTGGTAGAGCCAGGAGGAACCTCAGGGGACACCCAGCATGTAGCAGACCACTCCTTCCTCCAGGGAGCAGGAAAGCAGAGCCTGTGGCAGAGGCTAACCAGCTGCTTATTTTTTATTGCAATCCCAGGGAGCAAGAATGAGGGAAAGGGGGAGTGACGCAGGGAAGCAGAGAGAAACAAGATGAGAATGTGTTCAGGAGCTGGCCTCTGCTTGATAACCAAGTGTGACCTATGGCTCTGAGTGGTAGTCTCTGCTTCTCAGAAAAGTCTGAGGGGGTAGAGGAAGAGGTAAAAATGTATCCACCAGCCACTAACTCCCATTGCTCCAAGGTTCACCCCAAGAGTGTTAGTTCTCTCACACTCCCCTGCTGTGCATGCATATACGAGAGCAGAAGGCAGGAGTGGGGTGGGAACATAGACAGGAGGTGCAGGCGTGAGGACAGGTGCTGTCAAGTTGCACTTGAGGGGAGCTGGCTGGAGCCTATGCAGAGCAGATGCTGCTGCAGTGCCTGCAACGAGGGGACAAAGTCCCCGCAATCATATAAGGCCAAGAGGATCAGAAGTAGCATATGAGAGGGGTCTAATGTGGGCAGGGATCATGTCTCTTCCTGTCTTCCTCCTAGCAGAGCTGGGCACAGGATTAGGCTCACCAGGGCTCAGAACATGTCTGTCAGGCAGAATCCAGGTAGAATCTCTGAATAAAACAGAGAGGCCAACGCATTGGCTAGTGTGGGGCAAACAGGACTGAGGAGAACAACGTGGTTGGACTGTTCCATGTGGGCTGGGATAGTCAAGGAAAGCTTCCTGCAGGAGGCAGCACTCAGGTAGGAAAGTGCTGCACAGCGGAAGATGTCACCAGATGTTGGTGTTTAAGAAGTGACACTGGGCCAAGAGTCAGGTGACTGCAGTTGAGTCGTGGTTGTTCCAGCTAACTCAACAAATTCCTTCCTCTCTCTGGGCCGAAGTGCTGCACAGCGGAAGATGTCACCAGATGTTGGTGTTTAAGAAGTGACACTGGGCCAAGAGTCAGTTGACTGCAGTTGAGTCGTGGTTGTTCCAGCTAACTCAACAAATTCCTTCCTCTCTCTGGGCCTCAGTTGTGCCGTGTGTACGCTGAGAGGCTGGCCTCGGTGATTTCTAACAGACAGTCTAATTCCAATGTTCTGGGCCATTGAAGTAGGACTGCTGGGTGGGAGCCAGTCTGTAGAGTGAGGCAAGGGCTAGGGAGAGAGAAGCCCACTCAGGGTTTTAGGAAACTGCAGGGCTCCAAAGGGCTTTGCATGCTGGTGCCCCAGGGGAATGGAGGCTGGAAGAGTCCTAAGGTGTTCAAGCTGAAGGAGAAGAGGGGCTGGAGAGGAGGGCCCTGGGAGTGTATGGTGTAAACCAAGGCCTGGTGACTTTAAGTGTGGCTGGGTAGAGTGTCTGCCCAGGAGACTGCAATTAAGCAGGCTGCAAGGATGGGATTCTGGGCCCTTGGGTCATCCATGATGGGCACCAAGGGGAATGGCCCAGTGTCCCAGAGAGGTGGTTTTAAGTAAGGACTGAACAAAATGATCTAGTCCAGCCAAGCAGTTCAGCATGGGGAAACTGAGGCAGCAACCCAGTGGTAGGGATTTTGTCAACCCGACAAGCATGAGGAGTCTATGGGAAGGGGGAATAAGTCCGTGCTGGGGCAAAGGAACCTGCCAGTGGGCTGGGGCTGCAGAAGTAGCACTGGGCCTGGGAGCGAGGCAGAGACTATAGGTGGAGGCCTCTGGGCTCTAGCCAGCAAGGCCGAGGAGCCTGAGGCTGACCCAGCTTCCCTTTGAGTTTTCAGATGGGGCAAGTGAAAAACCAGCTGAAGAGGACACCACACAGTCACACCATGGGATGGTGAGTGCTCAGCTTTATTGATAGGGTCTGGTGGGGGTGGGGGCTGGTATCCGGGGCCTAAATCTTCACAACTCTAGAGCAGGCAGTACCGTATTGCCCTCATTTCTCATGTGTCCCTGGGATCAGCTACATTAGCCCTCACCATATTCCAGCCCCTCTTCCTAGCCTCCCACCAGGATTCCCATCATGGCTGGTGGGCAAGAAGGGGCTAGGAGAAAACAGGTCACCATGCAGGGTAGGAACAGGCCCCAAACTTCCTCATTTCCATCTTGGAAAACTTTGACACTGTTCCATCCTTAAGGAGGCCTGTGTCCATCCTTAGCTCGGGCCCCCTCTGGAGAGCATATTCCCCTAAAATGGCCTCTGACTTGGACCAGCCTTCCGACCCAGTTCCTGGCATTCTGGTTCTTTGTCTGGGGTTTACCTCTCTGTTCCCCGCTCTATCTTGTCCCCTCTCAACTGTAGTCTACGATGGGCTTAACTGCCCAGCTCTCTCTGTCTAAGAGGAAAGAGATGGGAGAATGGGCTTACACACTGACTCAAGTCCCTGATCTGTCCTCTGTGCTATGTCTGCAGTGTGAGCAACTCAACCTGCTCTTTCAGCCTGAGTCCCTGGGAGCCTGGGGGAGTGGAAACGGGGCTCCACTTTTCAGAGATTCCCCAGGGATCTGAGCTCACAACTTCTGCCTTCTTCTCTGCCAGCTCATCCTGCCTTCCCAGGCTGGGCCTTCTCAGTGGGGGCCTGTGCCGCAGGACCTGATCTGTTCCGTCCCCTTTTCTGCCCATCCTCTCCCTAGGAGATAATGTGTAAGTGAAACCCACCCAGGTGTAGTTCCAGGCCCTGATCAGTCACTTATTGGCTCATTGGATGACTCGGGCAAGTTGCCATTTGGGGGTTGGGTTCTTCAATTCCTTCTTGGCTCTATTCCACTCGACAAGCATTTCCTATGTAGCTTCCTATGTGCCTGGGCCTAGGACAGTTTCCACTTTGGGAGCTCTTGTGGGCTCAGTCTCCAGACCATCAAAGAACTGATTCGGGGACTGTACAAGGCAGGAAAGGGCTGTAGAAGGAGGACTGTGAGTGACTCTGGTTCAGCAAGGGAGGTAACAGGC